AAGAATCTAAATAAAATAATATTTCTAACATTATTCTAAAACTGTGTCTTATAAAGCTATTTTAATTGATTCCTAAATTTATTCTCATAAAAGCTGCTTTCTCAAAGAGTTTCTTTGTTTCTCAGTCAAGGTGCACTAGTTCTCAAAGTTACTTTGTTTCTCAGTCAAGGTGCACTAGTTCTCATGTCCTTTCAGAGGATGATTGTTGTCCCTTATTAGGTTTGTCCACAATGTACTAAGATAGAAGAATAGCCTTTTACTTTGTCCTTGATATGCTGAGGGGTAGTAGAACAGCTTCCAAGACATGAACTACCTGTTCTGTTCTAGCCATCTGAAATTTAATTTGTTTGGCATTTAACATACTCATGCCTCCTGTGAGAAACATAAGCATGAAAATGCAAAGTCCCAATTACATAAAAAAGGGTCTCATGGTTTCGGTCACCCACCAACCAGCGTGGCTTTGCCAGCATTCATCCTCACTGTGACCCTGTCAAAGACAGTGGGAGAGCGGCTTGGCCAACACTTTTTCTCACTGTGACCCTGTCAAGACAGTGAGTGGGGGATCGCCTTCACCAAGTAAGAAAGACATTACCAAATTACAACATCATAAACATAAGCCATGGCTCACAGAAATGATAATCTTGGAGTCAAAAGGGGAAAGGATCCCAGTCAAAATAAGAGATATGTGTATATTCCCTTTTGTAGGGGATAAGGATATGCTACTATAACGGGTTCACTTGATGCTTTGACTATATCCCTTGTGGCTTTGAAACTTACATTTTTTTTTCTTTTTACCAACCTCTTCTCCCTGATCATCTTTTCCCTGATCTTCTCCTTCCAGATCTCTCCTCCCTAATCTCAATTTCTCTGAGCCACCTCTATAAAAGCCCCTTGTTCCTGATGATGGGCAGAATCAAAACCTTTGGGACAAGGAGTCCCATGTGTTTCTCCTTTGCTAGCCAAGCAATAAACTTTTTTCCTTTTTCTTAAAATTGTGTCCTTGTTAATGGATTGGCATAGGGGACAAAGATTGAGCTTTCGGCAACATGTACCCCCAAATTGCCACTTTGGCACAAGAGTAATTCTGAGCTGAAGGCATTTTGAGTTCCTGAAATCCCTTATCTGTTTAAAAACAGAGCCTCCTGGGGTTGGGGTTATGGCTCAGCAGTAGAGTGCTCGCCTCATACCAGCAAGGCCCTGGGTTCGATCTTTGGCACCACATAAAAATAAATAAGACACTGAGTTTTCTTTAACTCAGTTGTTGTAAGTTTTTCCCATGGAGGAACTCTGATTTTCCAGAGATGAGGAGTTGGTGCCACACCCAAACAGGCATTGTCACAGGAATACAATGTGGTGTCCTTTACTCTCCTAAATGCTATTTATCTTTCTAAAAAGTCATTTCCTTTTCTCTAAGTGTCCTTTCTCTCCTCTCCCTTTCAACTCTTAAGTACACAAACCCCAAATTCTAACCACCCTTTTGAGTTACCCATCTTGGGGTACTGCCTTGTGTAGGTTCAATAATTCAAAACATTTGTCTTTCTTTTATTGATCTCTTTTGTTATGCAGTCAGTCCCAACTAAGAACCTAAGGGGAGTTGGAGAAAAATATTATTCTTCCCCCACAATTTTAATAAAAAATATAGTACTCAAAATACATGGTTCTTAACCTCTCTCCAATATAGCTTAGATATCATAAGGATGGCTGGTGGAATGAAATCTCTATACTTATATAGCTTTGAAATATTGTGTGAAAACATTTCTTGATTCTAAAAAAAAATTTACTTGATTTTACTATATTCCAGTAGGATATGTTATGTAATAATAAATATAAATATAAATTCTAAGCTGTTCAATATGATCAGTAAATGTTAAGGACCAGTAGAATGGAGAATGTTGGTGAATTTTTATCTAATGGCAGTACCTTGAAGGAGTGAGTTTATTTCAGAATGGAATAAAGAAAGAAGCTTAAAATCCTATGGTTTCGCAGTTTGGTCCAGGGCTGAAGATCAGTCAAGATGAAAGCAAATCAGGCATGAGGACTGACCAACCCACAAACCTAAGATTCAAATGGTCTTGGAATGCTTATAACCCTGGAGGTACATGAAGACCAACACCAAACAAACTGTCTTCTCTTACCATCTATGTAACTTAGTCCTTTACCTTTGTCTTAAAAATAAATAGGTATGTTCAAAACATTGCATTCCTAATAATAACAATTATTATTTTCACTTGCTTATTTCCTGTATAGAAAGTTTGGGGTTGTGGCTCAGTGGTAGAACGCTTGCCTAGCACGCATGAGCCACTGGGTCCGATTCTCAGCACTACATATAAATAAGTAAATAAAATAAAGGTCCATCAACTACTAATAAAAATTAAAAAAAAAAAAGTTTAACTTTTTTTTTTATCATTTAACTTTGATATCTCCTTCTCACCTCCCAATACAACCCATGCTAAGTAACAATATAACTCAAGTTCTTAGCCTTCAAACTACAGGCCTTTAGAACTTCTGATGAAAGTTGGGCATGGTGGCACATACCTGTAATTCCTAGTGACTGGGAACACAGAGGGAGGAATATTGCAAGTTCAAGGCCAGACTGGGCCTAGACCTTGTTCCTAAAAAAAAAAAAAAAAAAAAAAAGCTGAGGATGTAGATCAGTGGTAGAGTGTCCCTGGATGTAATCCCCAATAATGGATATCTGATGAAAGAAACTTCAGAAATTTCAGAAAGAGAATTATCCTCTCTCTCCCACAGCTGAAGAAAAGCAGAGGTTCATCTTCATCATATACCTCTACTGATAAAAACAGAACTTTCATAGGAATATCACTCTAGTGTCCAATATGGGGAGTAGGTAAAATTGAACTGACATGTAACTGAATTCTGCATTGAAGGTGATTTCTAAGGTAACAATTACATCAGAGATAATTGTATTCCAAGAAATGTTAACTATGGCTTTTGCAAATTCATGATTCTGATTCTGATTGTTTTGTTTAATTTGTTGCCTTAGAATTTATAAAGTGACTTTTTTTTGAGAAGTAGAAGTAGAAATTCTTATAAGTTTGCTTTTTTAAAAAAGTTAAACCAGAGGAAGACTTGAAATTTTCTTATTCTCTATGTTATAAAAACCAGGCACAGTGGTACGTGCCTGTTATCCCAGCAGCTCAGGAGGCTGAGACAGGAAGATTGCAAGTTCAAAGCCAGCCTCAGCAAAAGTGAAGTGCTAAAACAACTCACTGAGACCCTGTCTCTAAATAAAATACAACATAGGGCTAGGGATGTGGCTCAGTGATTGAGTGCCCCTGAGTTTAACCCCCAGTAACCAGCCCCCCCCCTCCAAAAAAAAGAAGTGAAATAAATTTCATGACTTGGATTCTGTATTTCAAAATAGTTCCCTCTTATCCTCATGCAATCAAACCATACATTGTTTCTTAAAGGTCTCTGTTGAACTCTGTTATTTCACAGAGTTGGGTTAAGTAATACAGTATACAAAGATGGACTTTTAAACACAGAGTAGTGCTCAGTATATGAAAGTCATTACAAAACCACCACAGGAATAACATTTATCCATGCCAGTCACACTTTTGTATGTTTTGTATTTTAGATCTCCCTAAGAGGTTGCTACCTATGAAGGGTTCTTGAAGAGATTAAGCTAACAAGTTTTTACATTGTGTGAAATGTTCACTTAAAATCACTTCCATTTGACTTTGATATCATTAAGGAGAAGATAATTCATATTGACACCATTAAGGTAAGTTTTAAGCCTCTTGGGCCTGCTTTTGTTATTAGGTTTGAGCTCTTGTAAGGTTTATATGTAATGGTTTTTCAATAAAACAAGCGATTAAAAGTATTATCTAAAAACAACTTTTACCTTATCCATAGAGATCTTTATGCATTGTTTTATGACACACACTTTCCAGGAACAATTTAAGGCCTATGAAATGACTAAAGGGCAAAGAATCTTCACTTGTAGAAAATACAGAAAATATTAAACTTTTAAGGATTAGGAAACATTTTATCTTTATTGAAGAAAATAGCCACTCAGTGGTCAATGAATAATTCATGTGCTTTGAAACCTCATTTAACTTGTCATCTGGCTGATAAGGACTTGACTATTGGAAACTATTAGAAAGGAGAAACTCCTGTCTGGTCTCATCCATCTTTGACCAATACGCGGTTCATCTGCAGGACCTAATTGGCCTTTGATGTGGAGGCGAGGAGACAGAATCCCCAGGAGGTAAAAAATAAAGGAAGGCGGAAGTTTTAACAGAACATTGGTCAGCATACTGAAGATAAAACAGGGCTTTGGCCGAGTTTAAGTCAGGTAAATATAATCTTTCATTCTTTCCACTACATAGTGTTTTGTTAAGCTTCCATCACGGTACAATGCATCTAAACTGCTGAGCACAGTAACAGACGCTAAATAAATGTTATGGGAGGAGAGTTCCTGTAACAGGTACCTTGAAACTAGCTGAAACCTGTTAAAATATACAGTGAGTAAATGCTTTATAAATTATTGTTAGAAAGTAACATCAACTGAAAGGAAAGGTTTTTACAGAGATATTCGTGGTCCATAAATTGTAGAGAAAGGGGGAAGGAATGAGGGAATAGTCTCAGTAAGCCGGATCGAATTCTAGCCAATGAGACCACAAGTCTAGAGATTCCGCTCCTCCTGCCCAATCAAGGCGCGGCTTCGTCTATAAGTAAGACCGCCTTCGCTCGCTCCACTCTCCTCCCAAACCCGCGAAGCATGGCCCGAACCAAGCAGACCGCGCGCAAGTCGACCGGCGGCAAGGCGCCGCGCAAGCAGCTGGCCACCAAGGCGGCCCGCAAGAGCGCGCCGGCCACCGGCGGCGTCAAGAAGCCCCACCGCTACCGGCCCGGCACCGTGGCGCTGCGCGAGATCCGGCGCTACCAGAAGTCCACCGAGCTGCTGATCCGCAAGCTGCCGTTCCAGCGGCTGGTGCGCGAGATCGCGCAGGACTTCAAGACCGACCTGCGCTTCCAGAGCTCGGCCGTCATGGCGCTGCAGGAGGCCAGCGAGGCCTACCTGGTGGGGCTGTTCGAGGACACCAACCTGTGCGCCATCCACGCCAAGCGCGTCACCATCATGCCCAAGGACATCCAGCTGGCCCGCCGCATCCGCGGGGAGCGGGCTTAAGTCCTTGCTGAGCAGACCGCACAAAGGCTCTTTTCAGAGCCACCTACCTCTCAGTAAGAGCAGCTGCACCCGCTTCCCGCAGTCTGCGCTGTCTGAACACAGCTCGCGAACGCCCCAGCCGGGCATGGAGGAATCCCGACACTCTGGTCGCTTAGCTACTGGAGAGTTCGTCCTGTTCCCGGCCAGGTCTCCCGTGTGCTGGCCTAGCTTTCCCTATTCCGTGAGGGAACGTCTTCGCCGCGAAAGCCAGGGGTCCGCTGAGCCCTGTTAGCATTGAGGTCCAGGCCGGGAAAATGCCCTTTAAAATTCAAGATTTGTTTTGCATTTAGAAATTACATGAAACTAGCTTGTAACGTGATTCATTGTTACACAATAGAACCCAAACACGGAAGTGGGACCCTGCCAGTTATTCAAAAATAAGAGTTGAGAGGATCGTTAAAGAAAAACCAAGTATATAAAGAAAAACTGCAAAATTCAGGGTCTGCAGCTGGGGTTGTGGCTCAGTGGCAGAGCACTTGCCTCGCTTGTAGGAGGCACCGGGTTCGATCCTTAGAACACACAGATACTGTGTCCATCTACAACTTAAAAAAAAAAGGGGGCAGTTAACTTTACCTAGTGCTTTAAAAATTCCTTCTAGAATTCCACGGTTTAGTGTGTGTGTGGGGGGGAACCAAACAAGTGGAACCACGGCTGTACGTAATTTACTGGTTAATTTGAAGTGGAGTGTTTTGATTGGCTAATAAGACTTCTGTTCTAATGACCACTAAGGAAGTGCAACCAGAATCTATTATTTACATGGACTCCGCCCCTCTATGACGACACTGTTGTAAATTAACCAATAAAAAACGCAGTGTCGTGGGAGTCTTCATTTGCATACGGGCTCTATAAGTAGCGC